GTCCGAAAATTCCACGTACCTATAGAAATGGTTGCTCTGGTTTCTAGAAGAAGCATCGGTCTCGTGACTTCCGAAGAATCGCAACTTTTCAGTAGGAGTCATAATTCATCCTTCAACTCGGATGGCAGAGTCTAATTTGTTTAATCTGGTTGGCGTTTTTTTAGCAAGGTTGTTTTCTACGGGATTTAGTTCCCGACCTTATGCCCAACCATCCTCCTTTGCCCAAGGCTTGGGACTGGTAGTAACCTTGGAAGAACTACAGGCAGAGTATTTTTACTAACCACTTCTCATTAATTTTACAAATAACAAAATGATTTTATGTTCACATCCAGTTTTAATTCCTACTTCTACCCTTATGTAACTATTTGTAATAATTAACTGCTTATGTAAATTCACTTTAGTTTTAACCTTAATTTTAATGATCTAAACGTTGTGTTGTGGTGTGTGCTACTTATATCGACATAAGTAGTATATGACGTAACTCGTGAACAGAATGTCTAGCAGTAGAGAGACAAGAGGATCGAACAGTAAAGAATAGGAACAGAATGCAATTTGTATGAAAAAGCAAGAACAATAAAGTCTGAGTCATTATGAGACAACTGATGGACATTTTGCAAATTACGTATTTACTATTTGATTGTTAGATTTTATTAACAAGTCCTGTAGTTGGTGTTAAATACATTCGATTGTCCCCACTGGTGTTCTTGTTCACTACAGTGTAAGTGACTGATTAGTGTTTTGTTAAATTGATCCATCACTGTCTAATTGGTATCGACTTTTTATTCACATATATTGGTGTAGGGTCCTGATGAAGAATTAATTAGAAAGAAATATCTATTAGCTCAATTTGTCTCTTGAATGTCTCAGTGGGAATATTTAATGAATTAAAATCATGCAAATGCTAATGTTTTATTTATTTCCTTTTAGTAATTAATGCAGCGAGATTATTCTATGATGGTCAGTGAGAATTTATACTCAATTATTATTTAAGCGAAAGTTCATCTGACCTGAATACTTTGAAAAACATTCTCACACATAAAAAATACATAGACACATAAATCAGTGCACACACTGAATCTCGGTTGTTAGAACTAAATCAGTAACACGAATAAGACAAGTTTTATGCTGATTTATGCCTAGTAATCAATAAATAAGAGAACCTTACTTTCGAAGAAAGCCTTTCTCTCTCTAGAGAGCTCAATAATAATATTCCTATTTGTGACGTTGAGTGAAATCCTTTCAGATATCAGAATAAGTAACAGTTTCTTGAGAATGGCAATATTTTTAATCATGTTTATTCAAGTAGTTATTAGATCACAAATTACAAGGTCTATCCTCCAAAACAGCAGTTAGTTTGATGTGAGTCGGTAATCAGATAAACACACAAATAGATAATCACTATCTTAATTTTTCTAGCAAAAGCCAATGATGATATCAATTGAGAAAAGAGTATATCATGCATACGTTGTAGTAATAGTGTTTAATACTAATAAATTTTATGAAAACACCCAGTCACACAACGTTATATAAGTGTTTTTGTCATCGTTACTTATTTGCATGGTATATTAATCTTAGTTGCGTATCAATACTTCATTCATTATGCATAAAACTTTATTTATATAGGAGATTGATATTATTGCTAACAGATTTTCAGAAGTTATTAAACAAACATTTTAGTTGATTTTAACGTTGAAAATTTAAAATAATTATGATCTATAGGTTAGGCGTTCGCGCACGAGACTGAAGGACCTGGATTCTAATCCTGCGGGAGGGATTGTGGATGCGCAGTGCTGAACAATCTGGTTTATTTTCTGTTACAGAAGTTTGTTGCTGATAGTGTTCGGTCAACAGGTCTTAAGTATCTTTCTCAGACACTTGTTTACAAGTGCTTTTACCTTCTTGATGATGGTTGTAGTATTTTTCCAAGTTGCACTTCCATCCAATACAACTTTTTTATCATTTTTATTAAAAATTCTGACATTGATGATGTGTGACAGTTGTTTTGAGTGCTAGACTTCCTTCAATTATACTATAGTGTCCAAGAAGGTTTCATAAGTCTCTTCTGTCCACGCTGATAAAGTCACATAAGTTTTATCAAAGCATTCTTATTAATTAATCGAGCTTTTGAATGTTTCATTATATTATATAAACTGATAGACGTTGTATAAAAGTCCTACAGGCATATATAAATTGATACATCCAGACGAACTTGAAGTATTAAAATACATTTTATCATTAATATTAGTATTTTAAATACAAAATGTTTAATTATTCAATTCACGTTAAACTGTTGGCAATCCTGTCATATTTTAATTAAATGGTTTACGATACGTGCTGAAAATGTCCTACACATAAAATGATAAAAGTCTAATGCATATGACTCTTCATTAAATCGAGTTTAAACCTGGTAAATTGTCAGGAGACAACAGTTACCTCACGATTACTGACATACTTTATTGATGGTTAGCAAATAGCACAAAAAATAGAATTGAGGCTTCGTGTCAAACACTTTCTAATAACAAATGGTTTAAGAATGTGTAATACTGGCTTTTCCGACTATTGTTAAAATTAACTATTTTTGGAGAAAATAATCTCGGTGAACTGTGGTTAAAGTTGTTCATGTTTACTAAAGGAGAAATGCTCATTCAGAAGTTTATTTAAAAGTGGAAAGGACGAAGGGAGAAGAAAGATACATTTCTTTTCAATAAGTTGTATGATTTATAATAATAATTAAATGATACTGACCGATACATAATTTACGTGTGATTATTAAAATAATGCCATAATAACATTGGATGCGTACTGCTGAGGAGTCCCATACTAGAACGAGACAGCCATCCAATGCTTTCACGTTTTCCATCGTGGTCTAACTACAATCGACTAATGAATTCAAATATTAAATTACTATAATTGTAATATGATGTTTGTCAGACTGAATAGTATTTCATAAGAGAATAAGGAAAATATTTTGGTCGAAATTAGACTAACAATAGTTGAGTGTGATTATGAAGACTAATATTGAAGATTAAGTAATGACTCACAAATTTTGTAAAAAGTTTGGTGAATTAAATTATTTTTATAACTTCGGTATGACCGGTCTTGATCACAGAGTTAATGAGATGCAGTGCAGACTTATTTGAGACAACAAAAGTTTGGTTTCTAAATATGGATTCCAATAGCTTCAACAATACGCAAATGACGAATGTATGAATTTGATGGAATATGAAGGATAAAGTTATATTTAAGGTAATTGTATTTCCAATTGAGACCAGCAATAAAACTGTTAATCTCGCTTTTAATTGTCATTTGCTTAACCAGGTGGGATGATGTTCGTCGATATAATTGTAGAACTGTTTGATTGTACCCCATATATAATAGGGTCCACAAGGTCAGTTAGATTGGTAAATGCAAGGGGTTAAAGAGACCTGATGAACTCTATTCAAACGACCGAAATAATTTCATACATTTAGTAGTTTTAATCAACCAGATAAAATGTAGCACTCGTACATGACATTTAAAACTGACTAATAAAATTAGTGTACACGATGTATTTTACTACGATTTGTTTAATTTGTTTTACGAAAATATTTAATTACAACACACAACCACTTTCATTAAAATCGAGAACCGATCAAGTTAGAAAAGGGACTGAAAATCTAGAGGTACTGAATTTCCATTCCGTACTAACATAGGACTCTTCAGAAGTGTCCCTTGATGGCCCCGCAAAAGACAATGAAACCCGGAAAATTCCGTCTCGAGAGCCAAAGCTTAGCCGGAATTCCACAATGTCAATACATTGAGGTTAGTCTCTTAAACCAGTATCGACTGGTTTAATGGTCTGGATGTTAGGCGTCAGGACCCGATACTAAAAGTAAGTTGTCCCACCACATCTTGCATGGCCATGGATGCACACTGCTGAGGAGTCCTATACTAATGACAAAAAGAATGCCATGAAGAACTTTCAGATTTTCATTGGTTATTTAACTTTGATTTGTCCATGATTTCAATGAAATTCAACAATCTCCACAACCTTATATTGACGTTATGACTTATTAACTTTAACTTGTAAATTGAATTATATTAAACAATCATGTTTAATTAAAAGTCTAATTCGTTTTTTAACAAATATCCCTACATAATAAATGTGCTACATGTATTCCAGTTATTAACTAGAAACCGTTTTTATTAGGTCACTTTGGTTACTTTGTATTTTCCAGTAAAATTGACTGGACAACAACTAAATGATACTAAGCAATCTATATTCCCTTTCGTAGCAAAACTCACTTGATAATATATTCATACCGTAATTGACGAATATAATGTTTTTATTGAACTATATCGAAATTCACTTATTCAGTATTAGATCCTTTCAAAATGCTGTTAATAATAATAATAATGATAATATGCTTTCAGATTCAAGACACTAACACAAATGCAAAATGAAACATGTTGGATTTTCGTCTACTTTTTCCTTTATCTTCAACTAAGTTTAATGACTTGTTAAGCATAAGAAATTCTTCAATCCACCATTTAAACTATATAAAAGAAAAAAATAAATAACGAGAAAAATAGGTCATTCTGTTATGTAACTTGGAGAACACAGTAGATTACAAAACTTTTCAAGATTTTTCTTTTTTTTGGTTTTTGCTTTTGTCATTTATATTAACGGAGATAAATAAACAAAATTACCATACAAATGATCATAGAATCTGAAAGAAATCAAAGAAATAATCTTGAGAATGATGTATCAATTGTTTGTTGAGCTTAGGAGAATGTAAAAGTATAATTCAAATAAGTTTATCAGGGAAAATCTAGGCTTTGTGTGGCTATATATATATATATATATAATGTCACTCTAGCTTATCTCTTTGCTTATCTAACCTTAAGTCTGCCACCCAATCAGTCAGTTTATAGTAATTATTTCTAACCAATAAGAAATTAGGAGGGATTATGCAAATTATAGGGAATACTTTATATTCTTATATTCTATTCGATTGTTTCAAAATTATACAAAGAGATAGTTTTATATTAAAATAAAACTTGATTTATTGTCTGGGATATTTTTTCTATGTTGAACATTATTTAGTGATGTTAATGAAACAATAAAAGTTTTAGAGAAGATCATTGTCTAAGAAAGAAAAAAAGAAATGAGTCATCAACACTCTGAAAAATCTGTGAAGAATGAAGCATTTACTTGTAAGTTATTCTATTGAGCATACTTATCATGAAATATTATTCAATTGTGTTATAATGGTTTGAACTCCGTTCTATTATAGATTGTATCTTCAATGAAAGCAATGTATAATCATGATATGTTAGTGATTAATGGTGATGTATTCACTTATTCACATAACGATAAACTGGCTTACTTAAATTTAAATTTAATAAGATATAGGATAGTTGAAGACAAAATTATGAAAATTGCATGTTTAATATATGTGAATCATCAAACTGACCATTGCTGAGTATTTCATTTCAAATACTATCTTTCATGTGAAGTTGCGATACAGTGCCATGCTGATTGATGATATATGTGGTCAGCTATAGATGAGTAAAATGAAATCCTTAGTGAAAAATATACTGTTATACGTAGTACTAATCCACTAGGTGAACTTAACAATGTTCGAAAATGGTGGATATTGTAGTTTTATCAAACAATAGCTTGATATATTCAATTATATATGTTGAATATTGAAATAAACTGTTCAGTTTGTCACAATAGTTGTATAATAATAGTTTTTTCAATTATATTACATATTTTTCAAGTATTAAGTGGTTAGTATATCATATATATGTTAAAGCAACCTATTTATTTTTTAGAAATGATTTCAATATACCTTACTACTTCAAACTAAGGCTTATGGTAACAGCTTGTTTCTTAGTTCCTTCTGTATAGTTCAATTAACCTAGTTCACCAAAGTATTTCGATTTATTCAGAACTCGGTCTTCACTCCATTGACATACATATTAATCAGAAAGAAATGTACAAAGTGATATACCTTCTATTCTTTATTTAAACAATCTACTATAATTCACATAGCATGGGCTATATGATTTAAAGAATCCTTTCAACTGACAATTACTATGAAACGATTCGTAAAGAATTTTTCAAGAAACAAATGATTGTGATTGTTTTTGATTATTTGATTGTCAACACATTTCTTTTAATTTAGTTAGCATTCTGGGGAGAACATGATCGTATTTAAAGTTTATGATCTTAATGCCTAAAGTTCCAACCATTAATAAAACTTGTTACTGTGATAGTGAGATAAGTGAGTCGAGGTCAGTTGTATTGTTCATGAGTTCTGATTTCAATTCACAGTTCCCTTTTAATCAACTACGAGAACATTAAAGTATATTATGTATTTTTCATTGATAATAATTTATGTCAATCAAATTTATCAAACAAATATTGTCTTGAAATAGAACAGTTATATCCTGAGTAGTAGTCAAGTATTTTGCAATGCAAAAGTTATGTTTAGTTAGTAGTATGACAAAAAAACAGTAATTCTTTTTTAAGATAAGTCATTGAAATAAATTGGTTTATTGATAAAATTTACGCAACATGATCATTTGAACATTTCACTAGTTAATATGTTTTAACAGCATATGATTTGACACAATCAATGTAAAGGTATACTAATTGAAGAGGTTTAAATTGCTGAGTTACTATTTACTTGGCTAATTATGAAAATTATTGTTTATTTGAATCTTCTCATTGATGTTGAGGACTGCAATTGATAAGTTTTTTGTTGGCATGTATGCATTCTGTACGGATAGCCTCAATATTGCCTTAAATCACAAGCATGGAGACTAGTAGTGTGACGTAACGCGCTTCATAGATTCCACCACTAATCACTATCCATCTTTGCTCATAATGCTTGTAAATGCGACCCAAAACGCACAGTATGCATATATGCCAATAAGAGGCTGATCAATTGCAGTGCTAAACATCACTGGGAAGTTACAAATAAAACAATACCAAGTGAATATAAACTTCACCCCATTCCACAAACAAGTGGCTATCAGGACACAGTAGCTAAGTGGATAACGCGATGAAGTTTGAAGCGAACGCAACTGCGTTAGAGTCTCTGAGTGATCATCAACTTCGTAATACAGGTACGTCCAGCCGAAAAGTCCGGAATAGGATGAATCGCACGTCCTGGATTCCAATGGTAGTCACCATCTATCTATTTTGAATTTTGTACTGTTTTCTTTTGAAAACGAATCGTTACTTAATTACAGTTACATACAATTTTTCAATGACATTTATTCATTGAGCTGTTAAAAAATGGTGTCGTTTAATTCCAGTGAATTTACCACAGTTACTGCAAACTTATAAACTCCACTCATTATAGATTCGTTAAAATTGATTGTTGAAACACACGAAAACTAATCTAAAACAGTTATTCAATTCACTCTAATTTTCAATAGTTTTCAGTTTCCCTCTCCATCTCTTTCTCTCTGTTCACACTGAACTTGTTTTTAAACAAACAAAAAAAATGTTTCATTTACGTGAATAAAAAGCATATTGTTATTTGTGAAAATGTATTTATCCATAATTGTTACATGCAATTATTTCTTGTTATTATCTATTTCGGTCGACTATCCATAATTCATTAATATAGTTTGCCCAGGCAATTCTAGTTTATCACAATAAATGAAAAATTGAATTATTATTATTATTATTATTATTGAGTTATCGGAACGAGATGATTTTACTCATGATTTATGAATCCCATTTATGTTGATTCGTTGATGTTTATTCAACGATAAAATAATTATTCGACAAAAAAAAACAAAAAAAGAGAAAAAAAAAGAAAAAAGAGAATAATCAAATATTTCTTGTTTCTATGAAAGTTTGTAATAAAAAATTATTCGAAGTATATAATAACTCATTGTTTAATTCATTTATTTACTTAATTTCATATCGCCCGGTAACATTTCATCTTTGTTCTTTATTATTAATAATAATAATAGTAATTATTATTATTACTATTATTATTGGTAGTAGTATTAGTATCAGTATTGTTATTATTATATTCATATAGTTTATTTCATTCATATAGAAATAATTACAGTCATGATTGATTGTGTTATACCAAGCGTTTAAAAATCTATTCCATCGGTAAGTCTAATGATTATTAGTATTAATAGCAGGAGTTGTATTATTGAAACAATATTCTAACAAATAAGACAATTAAATGTATGTTGTTGTTCTTGTTTATTTTTATCATAATAACTGAACTAAATTAATTCGATATGCTTTTTAATATATTTCTCTAATTATTACCTCCAAGAATAAGTTTGCTCTTTATTTTTTTCCAAGTAATTTGACCAAACTATATATTCATGAGAGCATCTTTATTTGTTTTATCCATGGTATCGAAATGAGCAACTGATATAAACATTTCACATGAGATAAATTCAGAAATTCTGTTTACGTTTTACAACATTTTGATTTGATTCCATGAAGTCATTACAGTATAAATTGTTTTGTGTGCCACTGCACGTTATACTACTATTGTAATGAATAAAGACTTGGTGGGAATGGTCAATTTGTTGTTCAGTACAAAATTACGGAGTTCTTTCGTAGAATGTGAAAAACTATACATCGAATACTTTATTTTCAAATCTTCTATCTTAAAAGGAATGCAAACATAATCATCCTTGAGACACTTTAGGCAAATTTTCAATGTGTAGATCACCAGCACCTGCAATGATATGTTTACCCGACTCCTCCGAAGTTATCTAAACCATAGGATAACTTTTGTCAAAACGGTTTCAGTCTTCAACAAGCGTCGGTGAATAAGTAAGGGTTTGATATTGGGCTGTAACGCGGACTACAAGACTGACAATAAATGTTATTTGTAGGTGTCATTACCAAGGTTTAATTTGATAATTTCGAATAAATTGAGCATTGGGTTGTTTGTTATAAATAAAAATAATATATTTGTAATATCCCAATGAGTAGAAAATTGGATTTTCTGACGTTTCGTGGCTTAGTGTAAGTCACTTCTTCAGAGAATAAATAACCAAAATTAAATTAATCCAAGTTTAAATAGTACAACGGAACAATGCAAGAATAATATTTGATCAATCAAAAACAGGTCTGAACAAGTTGATGTCATGTCATTTCTGTCAAGGTGATTCATAAGTGATAAGTATGTAAATTTGTGTGTGTATGTATATGTGCATTGTTTAAGAATGAAAACTTGTGTGACCTTTATGGTAAGAAAGGATAGAGTTTAAATTTGTAATATGAAAGTGTGAAATTGTAAATACGATCAGACTGAATGGTTAGGATAGATGGTCCAAGTAGGATGTATGGTAAGGCCTTCTTTTCGATTGAGAGAAGTAGGATTAAGCATTATATGGAACGCCTCAGCTACCCTCCTTTCTTTGTAGTTGGAAAAGCCTTTTTGCAATATTTTGATATTTTTAAAATCGATTTGGTGGTTGTTGAAAATGGCATGAACTGCTATTGCCGATTTAATTTGAAGTTGGTTCAATTCTACCGGATTGTTAGGAGGTTTCTTTGTGTACCTAATATGTTCTTTGGCTCTAGTCACGATTTCGCGGGATGACTCTCCAATATAATAGGCATCACAATCGATACAACCTAATTTGTAGACGCAGTTCTGTGTGGACATGAAAGGGATTTTTTCTTTCAGGCGAACTAAAGTATTACGTAGTGTGTTCGTTGTTTTGTAATACACTTTAATTCTGTGATGTTTTAAGATTCTTTGAATTTCTTCTGTTGTGCCATGACGGTATGGTAGGACTACAGTGCCAATCCAAGGCATTTCATTCGAATCATTATTATAATGTAATAAATTGTTTTGTTTTAATATGCTTCTAATAATCTTCATAGGAAAATTATTAAATTGTAAGATGCTAATTATATTCATTTGTACATACACACACAAATTTACATACTTATCACTTATGAATCACCTTGACAGAAATGACATGACATCAACTTGTTCAGACCTGTTTTTGATTGATCAAATATTATTCTTGCATTGTTCCGTTGTACTATTTAAACTTGGATTAATTTAATTTTGGTTATTTGTTCTCTGAAGAAGTGACTTACACTAAGCCACGAAACGTCAGAAAATCCAATTTTCTACTCATTGGGATATTACAAATATATTATTTTTATTTACTAAATGTTATTTGCTTGAAAGTACGAG